TGGACAGGCGGCGCGGGACCTGACGCTGACTGGACGGGTGGCGCGGGACCTGGCGCTGACTGGACGGGTGGCGCGGGACCTGGCGCTGACTGGATGGGCGGCGCGGGACCTGGTGCTGACTGGACTGGTGGCGCGGGACCGGGCGCTGACTGAACGGGTGGCGCGGGACCTGGCGCTGACTGGATGGGCGGCGCGGGACCTGGTGCTGACTGGACTGGTGGCGCGGGACCGGGCGCTGACTGGACTGGTGCCACGGGACCTGGCGCTGACTGAACGGGTGGCGCGGGACCTGGCGCTGACTGGATGGGCGGCGCGGGACCTGGTGCTGACTGGACTGGTGGCGCGGGACCGGGCGCTGACTGGACTGGTGCCACGGGACCTGGCGCTGACTGAACGGGTGGCGCGGGACCTGGCGCTGACTGGACAGGCGGCGCAGGACCTGGCGCTGACTGGACTGGTGGCGCAGGACCTGGCGCTGACTGGACGGGTGGCGCGGGACCTGGCGCTGACTGGACTGGTGGCGTGGGACCTGGCACTGACTGGACGGGTGGCGTGGGACCTGGCGCTGACTGGACTGGTGGCGCGGGATCTGGCGCGGGACCTGGCGCTGACTGGACTGGTGGCGCGGGACCTGGCACTGACTGGACGGGTGGCGTGGGACCTGGCGCTGACTGGACTGGTGGCGCGGGATCTGGCGCGGGACCTGGCGCTGACTGGACTGGTGGCGCGGGACCTGGTGGAGCCGGAAACTGGTAATGCAGGGAGATTAGATTGTCCACCTGGAGCTCCTGGAGACTGAAGATCTGACGGAGTCGGACCAGCTCAGCTCGGAGACCGGCAAGCTCTGTTGGATGGGCTGAGGGATCGGTCCTTTGGCCTGGAGACGAGGGAGCTGCTGACTGGACCGGAGGCAGGGCCGCTGGCTGGACAGAAACCTTCTCCTGGAGATACGGGGAGGATAGGGTGTCCAGCTGGAACTCCTGGAGGCTGATGAGTTGACAGAGCCGTCCAAGCTCCGCTTGGAGGCCGGTGAGCTCCATCTGATGGGCTGAAGGCTTGGTCCCTCCGCCTGCAGATGAAGTAGATGCTGACTGGACCGGAGACGGGGCCGCTGATCTGACTGGGGGCGGGTCCAAGCTGGCGTGGCGAGCTGGGGTAGCGGTGAGCCCATGGTTCCGTCCTGGGACAGGGCGTGACGGTGGAGCCCGGCATCCTTCCCAACGCCGTGGGCCAACTCCAGGGGAGCACACAGCCAGTTTGGTGCCCACATAGCAGGAGCGGTCTAGCAGCATCTCCCAGTCCAAACCCCCATCTGGCTCCGGGAGGGTGGAGAGGATCGTCGAGGCCGGGATTCGGCGGCGGCTTCTGCAGCGAGGCGACGCCGGAGGAGGAGAAGCCGGCCGGTGGTTCGGGGTGAGCCATTGGATCCTTTAGGAGCTCGGTTCATTCTGTCACGGCGTGTGGACGAGGTGAGCGGAGGCAAGGATCCACATGCGGGTGAAGAAGGCAGGCAGACAGACAGGAACGTTTTAGCAAGGTTTAATATAAAACACGGGGGCGACGGTGGCACAGGTGTTAAGTGCTCGCCCCGTAATCGGAAGGTTGCAGGTTCGAGCCCCGCTCAGTCTGTCGCTGTCGTTGTGTCCTTGGGCAAGACACTTAACCCACGTTGCCTGCTGGTGGTGGTCAGAGGGACCAGTGGCGCCAGTGCTCGGCAGCCTCGCTTCTGTCAGTGCGCCTCAGGGCAGCTGTGGCTACATCCTAGCTCATCCCCACCAATGTGTGAATGTGTGTGTGAATGGGTGAATGACTGGTAGTGTTGTAAAGTGCTTTGAGGGGTTCCAGGACTCTAGAAGGCGCTATATCAAATACAGGCCATTTACCATTTACCATTTAACACGCTGGACACAGAAACAATGAACCGACAAAACATACAGAACTGAGAGGGTTTAAATACATGAGGGCTGGGAGCTTGGGTGATTGGAAAACGAGAGGCAGGTGGGAGCAATTAACAGTGACACATGACTGAACAGACAGGACAGGGTGTGACACTTCACTGATGAGGTGGTATGCTTAGGATCATGAGCAGTTGCTTTCCGTCTCCATACACTTCTCTTCCCATCACTCTGGTACAAGATGATCTTGGTCTCATCTGTCCATAGGATGTTGTTCCAGAACTGTGAAGGCTTTTTTAGATGTTGTTTGGCAAACTCTAATCTGGCCTTCCTGTTTTTGGGGCTCACCAATGGTTTACATCTTCTGGTGAACCCTCTGTATTCACACTGGTGGAGTCTGCTTTTGATTGTTGACTTTGACACAGATACACCTACCTCCTGGAGAGCGTTCTTGATCTGGCCAACTGTTGTGAAGGGTGTTTTCTTCACCAGGGGAAGGATTCTTCGGTCATCCACCACAGTTGTTTTCCGTGGTCTTCCGGGTCTTTTGGTGTTGCTGAGCTCACCGGTGCGTTCCTTCTTTTTGAGAATGTTCCAAACTGTTGTTTTGGCCACGCCTAATGTTTTTGCTTTCTCTCTGATAGGGTTCTTTTGTTTTTTCAGCCTAATGATGGCTTGCTTCACTGATAGTGACAGCTCTTTGGATCTCATCTTGACATTTGACAGCAACAGATTCCAAATGCAAATAGCACACTTGAAATGAACTCTGGACCTTTTATCTGCTCATTGTAATTGGGATAATGAGGGAATAACACACACCTGGCCATGGAACAGCTGAGAAGCCAATTGTCCCATTACGTTTGGTCCCTTAACAAGTGGGAGGCACATATGCAAACTGTTGTAATTCCTACACCGTTCACCTGATTTGGATGTAAATACCCTCAAATTAAAGCTGACAGTCTGCAGTTGAAGCACATCTTGTTCGTTTCATTTGATATCCATTGTGGTGGTGTATAGAGCCAAAAATGTTAGCATTGTGTCAATGTCCCTATATTTATGGACCTGACTGTATCTTGGTTGCATAATAGACGACAAACTCACATTCCAACACAATACGGAACATATTTTTGCAAAATGCCAACAGCGCCTCTAATTTCTACGTAAACTCTGCAAACTTCAGGTCCACCAAACCATCCTTGCTGCATTCTATTGATGCTTTGTCGAACCAGTTCTTACATTGAACATTTCTGCCCGGCTTGGTTCACTCACAATTGCTCAGCGTAACATGCTCAATAAAATAATCAGGATAAGCAGTAAAATCATCGGTCAGGAGCAGCAGTCACTCACCAGCACATATAGCACTTCAGTTCTCAGAAAAGTCACACAGATCTCCACAGACCCATCACATGCTCTCCACTCCCATTACACCCGGTTACCATCAGGTCGGCGATTCAGGGCCCTCCCAGTGAAGACAAAAAGAGCTTCCTCCAGCTTCCTTCCCTCTTCAATCCACCTGTTAAATAGCAAAAATGACTGTGACCAACATTGCAGTAAATCTAGATTGAACTAGTAATCTTTTATTATCGTATTCTTTTTTAAATTCCTTTAATTAAGTGTATGTACATGTGAGTAGTCTTTTAAATGGATTGTATGTGTATGTGTGTTTTGATGCTGTTTTTATTTGTTGTGCTGACGCTCTGACTGCGAATGAAGTTCCTAACGGACAAATAAAGTGAGTTGAAATGAACTGAATTGAGAAAAGAAGTTAAAGCTGCTAACTTGAACTCATGAACGAGTACACTTGAGACAGAACATTTGTTTAATTAAACTGATCACGTCTTGTTATTAATTGATTTAACCCTCTGACCCTGCACCTACATAAGAAATGCACCCACCAATCAAAACTATTAACTTAAATGTAATAAAGGCTGAACTGGATGTGGATAATGAGAGATCTGATGTTCCAACCTACTTTGGCCATTAGTTTCGCAAACATACCTAAAACCTTATTTATGACCACAATGACCCCACTGACCCCCGGCTCAGGAAGTCATATGAAAAGTAACATACCTAGTTAGCTTGTCTAATGTTTTATGTGATATGATTGTTTAATGCAAACGTAATGATCACAAGGCAATCCTGAAATGTTTATTACGAATCTACAAAGCAGGGATGTTGAACTTGTATCCACTAAGAGCCAGGTTGGTATACAATCACATTCATTCAATAAGCTTAAAAAGGACCGGTGATGCTAAACATCAGATTTAGATGTCAGAACCGAGCAGTTACAAATGTAAGCTGGAGATTTGAGAAAGCAATAGCCTAAGCAGTTAGAGGTTTTTATGTTTTTCTCTCACATTGTATTAAAACACACACATGCGTTTACGTGTTCTCATAATAACCAACAGCATCAGGTCTGATGTCTCACACACGTCCTCTGGTGGTGGCCAGTGGAACTCTGATGGGGACCACAAACAGCAACGGAGCCCCTGGCGTGCAGTTTGAACCTCAGCATCCCTGACATTAAACCACTCAAGGTGGACAAACAGACCCATTCAGCAACTACATGAAATAGATGTAACTCCTCGTCTATTTAAGGAGCTTTGTATTTAAAATGTATTTTGTTTTAGTAAAAGAAAAGTAGTCACTGAGACTGGCAGGCTGTAGTTATTGCACATGCATGTTAATGGCTCTGAGTAAAATGAAACAGACGTGTAATTATCTTTATTGAAAGGTAACTGCAAAAATAAATAAATAAATAAATAAATACAGCTCAAGTGGACCGAGAAACAGAAATAAACTGCCTCATTACAACATAGAAACAAGGAAATAAAATACTATTCTTCTGGTTCCTGCTTTTGTTTACCATGCTACTTAAATATTAACATGTCTGAGGTATTATATCTTTTACTGATTCCACTATCAGATTCTTGAGATAACTTCTGACTGTGTGTGTGTGTGTGTGTGTGTGTGTGTGTGTGTGTGTGTGTGTGTGTGTGTGTGTGTGTGTGTGTGTGTGTGTGTGTGTGTGTGTGTGTGTGTGTGTGTGTGTGTGTGTGTGTGTGTGTGGACGAAAGCCGGGGACTGCCCACGGAGGATGGGCGGAGCAGCAGTAAGCATGCGCTGAGGTGGCAGGCTCTCTGGGCTGGTCCTGACGGGCTGGCTGGCTGCGCTCCGGGCGGATGTCTGTGCACGTCAGACGGCGGTGGGGAGACAGCCATCAACACTCCGCGTCTCCTCGAGTGCTCGGAAGGCAAAGACAGGAAGAAACCCGCGGATAACATTGCAAAAGGAATTCAAACTGGCCCACCTCCGCATCTGGAAAAGCACCCACGAAGACAGAGACGATCCTCCCTATCCTCCCGCCCACACCCCGTCGCCAACCCGCCCTGTCTCTCCTGTCCAGCACTTTTTGCTATCCTTCTGGCCTGAACTGCCCCCCTCGGAGAACCACGACCACCCAAAGGAACCCCCCACTTGACTTGACCAGCGTTGCCATCAAGCGATGCGCTTTGAATTTGAGACGGAATCACCTTTTGACGCACAACAGAAGCGGTGGTCGTCGTTCCCCTCGGCGGAACAGTTCAGGCTGTGGATCCGGGTGTTTACTCTCTCCAGTGCTACACAGCCTGTATGACACGGCTGTCATTCTGAAGAATAATCTTTATTTAAACTAGCGGCTGCCACACGCCGGTTTCAGCGTATTTGATGTTTCTAGCAATTAAACGTTTACCGACAATGGTCTAGGGACAGACCGCCGCCAGACCGTGATTTGTAAGAGGTGCGCGAGGCTTTTATTTAGATTTTAGTGAATAAAAAACAACAAACTGACAAGGAGGTCCCTTCACACCGACGCTGTTTGTGCAGAGAGGATACGCCAGAAGTTTCTTCACAGGAGTAGACGTGGACCGAACCGGAGACAGTTCGACCAAATCCACGGTGTAAGGTAAGAATCTGGGCTTTCTGACGTGAATGTCTGCATGTCCGCGCTGCTAGGAGCAGGTTGGTCCGTCCTGCAATGTGAGAAACGGCAGGAGTTCAGGGCAGTGACCTATTTTCAGAGGCTTTCCAGCGGTGCGCTGTCACGTCCTGGGCTTGAGCCGTTTGTGCCATTTACGCATAAAACGTCTCTTTTCAACACGGGCCGAGCCACATGGCCACATCCTCTCCTCAGCATCAATCTCTCTAAGCCCAAGAGACATTTTTAGAGCAGGGGAACAAACCCCGTCCTATAGAGTCCGTGGTGCTCATCACAGCCCAGCAGCTGTGGTGCAACATGCAGGCTCGTGCAGATGTTTGTCACTGCATCTGACAGAGTTCAGCTTCTGCAGGTTGCAGACGGACATTAAACCTCTGATGTTCTGGAAAACAACAAACAGGGTATACTGTACGTTGTTATTGCATTTGCATGTCCGGACTTGTCAGAGTTGACATCCACACTTTGTTTTTTATGACAACAAGTGCTGATTATTGCAGCACTATTTAGTGACATCTTTATCATTTTTGTTCAGTCCAGTTCTGAGTTGGATGAGGCTGAGAGTGCAGCACAGGGGGCAAGGATGAGCACGGCCAGAGAGGCCTGGACAAAGGGCCTTTTTCCTCCAATTAAGCCATTCCGCTGTCCCTGTGCCTAATTGTGCACACACTGGGATTGGGTTTGCAGTAGACCTTCTCCTCATTGGCTGCCTCCCATGCACCCATTGTTTCAGGAGAGAGAACCAAGCCCTGCCACGGCTGACCCTGTGATGGAGGGAAATAAGGCCTGGCTGTTGTATGTTGGAGATCAGACTAGCAAAGATTGCATATTTCCAGTGTGACTGTGAGGGTGTGTTCCAGAAAATGTCCAGAAGAAGAGCAGAAATCTTTTTATTTCCTTTCAGACTTAAAACCTTCTCTGGAACGGTGACCAGGAGGGCTTCACACATCCTCTGGCTGCTCGCTGCATTGGTGATTAAATCAGATGATTCACAGTTCAGATGCAGGCTAGACATAACCTTCATCTGAGAGGAAGTCTGGGGTCGGATAAAAAGACATCCATTACCACTGACCGTGGACTTTTCGTCAACTCCACTAACTCTAACTCTGAGTTTTTAGTCACTGCAGAGAAACGCTCATCTCCACCGATGAGCCAGATGTTCCAGAAGTGAATCACTTAGCTGTACATTCATTGCACTTAACCATATTCATTGTAATACAGCATTTACATGTGTTTGCTTCCATTCTGTCAAGCCCCAGTAGGGAGACGGTTGCACCTCCAGGTACTTGGGGTGGGGGTGGACGGCAGGTTTTATTTCCTGATATTTGGACATCTCACCCCAGATTGGATCACAGCAACATGACTCTACAACTAACTTGCAATTTGGAAATAACACAAGCCTGGAGGAGCTTCTGCTGTGTGGTGAAAGTTACTAACGCTAACAGTTAGCTTCTGCTAGCCGAGACATTCGCTGCTGTTTCTTGAGCACCACAACAACAGCAGCCTTCCTTGTCGTGAGTCAAGATGAGTGAGTCCATGAACAGATCTGTCAAGCTTTTCTAATCCTAGAGTTTCTTCGCCTGTTTTCTGTCAGAAGCTAATGCAGGAGATAGGTGTAGGAGACTATTTTCATAAAAACTAATTTATTATCAGAAATAATCATTCATGGGGTTTCAGGCAAGCACGCCTTTAATGTGGTGAATAAAAGATTCCAGCATGTCGAGTATGAAATCAAGTCATGGGCGTTGTCGTTGCCCCCCTCCTCAACTTTCTGCGTGTCTCCAGATTGAGCCCCACGCTTCAACTGTGTGACATCATTCAGCTGAGGTCCAAAGCTGTTATAAAAGCAGCTGTTCTATGTAAAAGGTGGACCCTCACGGCATTCCCCTGCGTCAGAGACCCACTAAGAGGTGTTCCGCAGACAGAAAGCACACTGCACGTGTGCCAGGCTAACATAAAGTGTACCGCATACAACACCAACATATTTAAGAGTGTTGCACAGTTCAGATATAAAACTGATTGTAACAAGGCCCCCCCCCCCCCTACACACACACACACACACACAGTGAGGCCACAGAAACATGTTAACCCCTCAAAGCCTGTGGAAATCACACCCATTAAGTGAAATGTAAAGGCGGTAGGGCCAGTTTGAGTGTTTGAATTAATATCTCAGTAGGGCGCCATAGCTGCTGAGGATTATGGTCAAGCTAAAAGGCAACTGAGCAGCAGGGGAGAGGGGATTACAGTGGTCGGTGACTGAGGCGACTCACTGTGAAAACAGGGCACCTGCTGCACAGTTGCATTAATCTTCACAGGGGGTAAATTCCCACGGTGGGTCCAAACTTCCTGCAGCAGCGCTTGAAAACGGTTGTTTTTGTTAAGATTGAAAGCTTTGGGAAACAAACTGGAACATAAGTTTGAGATATGCAGAAGTCATGCCCTCTGTTCTTTAATGGAAGAAGGTTGATAGTCCATCAGGGTTCAGCAGCAGGATGCTCAGCCAGAAAGGAGTCACGGCCGCACGAACGCATTCATCACTCAGTCTTCATGATGTTGAAGTTCTAACAAAATAACACAGTGTTCGCAGCTACGTCACCTGTTGTCTTGGAGATCAAGGCACGATTGCTTCTGCTTTGGCAATGAGTGGAAATCACAGAAGGCTGAAAATGTGTTTCTGACTCAACTAAGTTCAGATCAAAAGCTGATTCAGGCGACACCTGAAAATAACCTCATTACATTCCTTACTTTTTCTCCAGCAGTTCATAGCACTAACCGCTGCCGTGTGCTAACAGAGAGACAGAGTCATCGCTGCTAAATGGTGTGCTTGTTGGACGATGGTCAGATTTTTGGTGCTCCAAGTCAAAAATGGCCAGCTCGATTCATGCTAACTGAAAGACACCAGGTCAACCCCTTTGTTGCCTGGCTGGCGTGGCTCAGCCTTTGTGCATTTTTCTCCAGTTAAACTGTAACCACTAATCACCTCACAGCCTCGCTGTTTCCTGTAGGAGCAGACCATGCCTGGGTCCCTATGGTGGGTCCAAACGGCCCCCGCAGAAATGCACATTTTACCCCCTTTTTCTTCAAACCACCTGTGTGTGACATCCCAAATGAGTTTAGGGAGGGGGGGTCCTCAGGAGTCAGTTCCTCTGCTGGAAGTCTGTAGGTTCACATTTCCAAAATAAACACAGACAACTCAGCGACCCCGCCCTGCCTCTTTTCATTCTCCCAGCTCCGTGTTTCTCACATGAGAAAATTTCATCTTGCAAATTTCCTCAGACAATATGCAGACCACGTCTGTGGCCAGAAGTGTTTAAACAAAAACAAAGGAGAAAAGCTAAAACATAATGCGGTGTGAAGCTTTGCTAAAGGGAGTTTTCCAATAGTTTCTGCCACCATATTTAATATTTAACAGCTGAAGTCTAGTCCAGTTCTCTATTTCTATATTTTGCAGTTTAACTAAGTGAGATATCAAAGAATCGCTTTTTAGGTGGGAACTCAGCTGGTTTGTGTCAGACACTCTGAGAGCAGCAGCATGGCGTGTGTGTGTGTGTGTGTGTGTGTGTGTGTGTGTGTGTGTGTGTGTGTGTGTGTGTGTGTGTGTGTGTGTGTGTGTGTGTGTGTGTGTGTGTGTGTGTGTGTGTGTGTGTGTGTGTGTTATATGATTGCTTGTTTGAGGAGTACAGAAAGGGAGGAGTTGGATAGGATTGGCTTGGTCTGTAAGAACAGATGGATCACTTACTGGGAAGGCCGAGAAGGGGAGTGGGATGGATGAATTTCTTGAAGACAAGGGGACGAGGGAGGGATGGGTGAGGCATCTGTGAGATTTAAATTTGACTCTCAAGTCTGGGCCTGGACCCGGCTCTCTGTCTGGGCACATCCAGTCTCGTCAGGCTTCACCCCTCCTTCTGCTTTTTCCCCTCTCTTCCCCAACTTTCTAGGACGTCATCTCCTCTCTTTAAACTCATTTCTTCCTACTCTTTCCCCTTTTTTATCTCCTTTGAACTTCCATCGTTCCATAAGCTTCCCTCTCCCTCCACAAACAGCACGTATATTATATAAGTCCTTCTCCTTATTGGTGCTGTGAAAGAAAGAGGAGGGAGCTTTGGCCTGGGAGTGCTTACCTTCTCTGTGGTGGATTGGAGATGTTGCCAGCCCTAATTTAATTCATATGTACTGGTGTAGCCCCCCCCTTCCTCTTTGCAAAGCAGCCTTATGTAATTTGGAAATGCTTTCGTTTGAGATTTTACTTTGAGACATGTTTTGACCCAAGATGCTTCCAAGAAGTCGCCTCATTGTTTGTATTTGGTTGCTAAAGTAAATGAGCTTGAATATTTAATCTTAAGGCTCCTGCTGCTGGTTGTCCTGAAGTTTTAATGCTTACAGGCTGTTTTTGGATTGATGCTGATGTCAGTATTGATTCAAGGCTGAGGAGTGTGTGAATGAAAGAGCTTTGCTCTGACCGTCATCAGGATGAACTCTCAGGCTCCTAATTTTCTTCCATGCTAGCGTTCATCTCCATTAGCTCTTGCTCAAAGGTTGACAGATCCAAATAAAGATCTAGCTCCAGATACTTCTTGCACAAACTGGGCATGCAGACAAATTTAAATCAAGATTTCTATTTTACAGCATTATGCTTGAACTGTGTCTGTCGGCATCTCAGCCGCCCTCCATCTGTCCCTCTGCATCTGCCACCCTGCACAGTTATTATTATTATTATTATTATTTTGCTGTTCCTCACTCTTGGATGAAGCTACAAAAGATGAAAGCTGCAGGGTGGAGCTAGTCACTTAGAGAAGCCACAACACAGAAGCACAGAGAAAAGGGGAAACAAAGAGAAAGGACTGTCGTGTTGACCTTGTCCTTTTGCCAGCCGTGGTGGGAGGCGTCGCCGCGTTCAGGGTTACTCTGAGAAAACAGGCGAGTAGTGAGAGGAGAACGCACGGCTGCCGTTAAGTTGGCACAAACTCACG